AGTGTGATCATGGATCGGTTGATACAGTGGAAATATGATCATTTAACCGCCACCTACCTGATCTTGTGTCATCGCAAGCTCCGGAATCTCCCAGCGCGGCTCACGAGAGCTTCTGTGCAGCATGCATGTGTAAGAGACGAGTTCCTTAATGCAATTGCATTCTGCGACGGCCGCATTTCAGCTGCCTAGACCGAAAACTCCTCTTTATAAGGAACAAATAGCTGAAATGCAATAAGTAAGGGCTCAGTATAAGGGAAAAATATTGTAATTTTTAAGAGCTGGCTGACTAACTTTTTCATATTTCTGAGGTCGATTTAATGGGGTTGGAAGGTGGATCATCAAGTCAGGGTTACGAAGATGCAAAGATGTGATGCTCAGGAACTTTTTTTTAGCGGATGATTGCCATTTACGCCACTTGTAATCGATGCCTATTTTTACTATCCCGGGTAAGCTTATGCAGAATTACTGAGCTTTTGTGTAGTAGCACCTAGCGACGAAATCTGGAATCTGCAGTACACTTCAGCTCATGTTTTTTAATGTTTTCCAGGATGTTGGAGATCTACCAGGGTGGTCTGGAGGAAGCACGAATTCTATGGATACCCTAACTGCACCTTCGACGACGAAGATGGAGCAATGGGTTATTCCTCAGATTAATCCGTCCACCTCACGTCGTCCCTTGGGCCAGATCCAAATGCAGCAGGAAACATCTTCGAATGTTTCAGGTAAATTAATTGCCGTTTGGAAAGTAGTTGTGCATGAAATATACTGTACCTCTTTTGTTTTATTAATTATGCAGGTTACCCACCGAATCTTGCTATGTCCATGGATTCAGGCCTGCAGAACATTTCGATGGAAGCACTCGCGACACCAAGAAAAACGAGAACAAAACCTGCTTTACCCGATTCCCAAGGGCCTCAAACGGTCAAGATTTTGGTAGATGAAAACGTTCCCCCGAATGCGGCGCCGACTTTGACTTTGCCAATGACCCCAGAACGCGAAATGTTCGATCCCGAATTCAACGTGATGCCTGGTAATCTGGGTTCTTCGCATGGTAAACGATGGGTTCACAGTTTCGAGCGCGGTTTGGAAAAGATGAAGAACATCATCACGCCGCGTAAGAAAGGAAAGCCTGTTGTTCGTCAAGAACCTGCAGTCGCAAAGGTACTTATTGTTTAAACCTTCTGCAGACGAGTAATGTAGGGATGCGTTTTGAATGAAAATAATGCTGAGAATGTGTAACTTGGAATTCCAGCATTGTCAGAAGTACAAAAAATGTCAAATGCGCAATAAATAAGTTCAGGCGAACTTTCGCGTTCGTCCGGTTGTGTTAAAACTGATGCTTTTGGTTTAATTTTCCTGCTGTGTGAAGTGTAGAAAAATGAACAGGAAAATTGATATCAACTTACGAAGCTAATGAACATGAACTTCTGTGTCATCCTATTTTGTGCCCTATTAAGTGCAGTTTAGTAAAAGTATCTTGTCAGATTTCAGATCGGAAAATATTGTATCGTTCATCACAATCTGACGTTGCTGTATCATGCATTTATGTTTGGTTCATGGAATCCGCTGTGTGACGGCGAATATTCTGAAAAATAATCGGAAGAATGTGATCTTTGAAAATTTTCAGACTCTGCATAACGTCGCTTGTGGATATCAGAAAGATCCAGATGCCTTATTTTTATCCTTGAAATCTGCAATGGAACAAATGGGAATCCAATGCAAGATCAAAGGGTGTGTATACTAGGGTTGAAATTCATTTGAATAATTACAGGATTTATGATGTTCTTCTGAAATGTAGGCCATATTGCTTGCAAGGGAAGCAAGTTCAACCTGGACACGAGTCATTGACTCTTGTGCTTGAGATTTGCCAAATTCCTCTGATGAAAGGCATTATAGGTATCAAACGCAAGCGAATCACGGGTGAATCTTGGCATTATAAGAAGGTTGTGGAACGCATCATGCGCAACGTTCAAGAATTTCCTGTGTCGCCACGTTGACGGAAGATAGTAGACATCATTTCTTGAATAATTGACTTACAGTGGTGCTCTTCCTTGGTTCTTCTCGGGTGGGGGTCTTCTCGTTGCTGAGGATTGAAGAGACGAGAACCGTTTCCTTGATGACTTTCGTAAGCGGCGGGGAACCCTCGTCGTGATCATGAACGACCGTGATTGCGTTTATGATTTGTTCGACATCCTGTGGTAAATTGTGCATATCCATTTTCCCACTGGTCCATTCGTTTATCATTCGCATCTGCTGTCATTAATGCCGATTATCCTTAAGTTGTAGTGAAAATGCCGTTATTCGTATTCTGAATCTCGATGATGAACATTCAAGTTCACTTATTTTCGATTTGTTCATTTTCACGTTAGGCTTCGTTTAATTTCTTCGCGTGAACGATCGAATCCAGTCGAAAGACAAGGTGAACCGAGCCTTCCAATTCGTGCTTATGCAAATTTTCTATGAGAGTTTTACAATTTTTTGAAGAATTTGTATCCCTGCATTTTCAATGTTTTGCAGATATCCAGATTGTGGGATATTATATGACTAGAAACGCATTTTATTTAATGTTCTGTGTTTTCCTCGTTCTGCCAAATGACATGATGATTAACGGCTTTGCTTTTGTTTGCCGCAGGAAAAAGATGTCATTGTGCCTGAAGTGGCCAGAGTGAAAAGGGGTGGAGAGTAGTGTTCTCTGCAGGCGGGATTTTTTCGCTGAGTTTGGGAGACAAACAAGCAGTTGTTTTTCGGTCACGGCCGGAAGGAAACGCGATCGCAGGCGATATTGATTGGTCGGATGTCCGGTTCCCTGGATAATAGGAAACAGCTTGGGTTAAAGAGACCAAGGCTGGATAACGCGAGGAGTGGACCAATGCCGGCACGACCGCTGGTAGCCCTGCTGGATGGGCGCGATTGCTCCATCGAAATGCCCATCCTCAAGGATGTGGCGACTGTTGCTTTCTGCGATGCCCAGAGTACGACTGAAATTCATGAAAAGGTGAGTTATGCATTCTTTGATGTAGGATGTTCATTGTCAGGTTGCCGTGTGGTGAAGCATTTTCTGAAGAAGTGATGGGAAGTCTCATCGGGGTTAACCGAGTACTGTAATGGGAACCGTTATAGCCAGATCTCATGTGATACTGTATACAGTACAGTAATGTATTTCAAAAAATCAAACCTTGATAAGCCGCCACCATTTGTTTGTGGCGGTTTAATTGTGAGCGGTGGTTATCAGGAAAGCTGAAATTATATGAACATCAAGTAGCACCATTAAAAGAAATCAATTTTTAATTCATATAGAAAACAATCAAAATAACTCCGGGATGCATGAATTGCATTTGGCTAATGTTTCCGAGAAGTGAATTATGTGATTCTTGTTCCGTGTTTTTTATTCGGAGACCTCTCGCAGAAACCTGAATTCTTTTTGGTGGTCTGTCGGAGACGAAATTAATTGACAGGAGCATATTTTTCAATAATTTTGGCAAATAGCGTTTTGACGGGGTTTCCAATGCTTTTGTCATTAGACACGTTTTTTAATCAATTGGTGATTGCCGAGGGTTGCGACTTATTGGGGTTCGATTCGAAAATAGCCGAATCATCGCTCAGAAATCAGGAAAGTAATGCTCAAAAGTCAAAACCGTTATTTTTGTGGATGAAAAACGTTTTTTTTTTCTGTTGAAGTACTGACTGCTACATTTAACGTCGTAAATTCCCCCGTTTTTAATTTTTAGAAGGTCTGAATTTCTCATAAATTTTGTTATCCGAGGTATCGCGCTGATGACATAGAAGTTTGTTGATGCAAAACTCATAAGCGAAGTTGATACTCTGGCATGTCGTGTGCAGACATGAATTCAAGTTTTAGGAAGCATATTCTTCAGGAAAACTGCAATATCGTACCTAAAAGTTTCCTGCGATTAAAAGTTTAAAACTTGAATTTTATTCTGTACTGTATTACGAAAGAATCCGCATCATCAAATAATTGAAGATTAATCTCGATGCTAGTCTGGAAGAAGGTTTACTCGAG